CCGTACGCCCGGACTCCCGTATGCCCGGACTCCCGTATGACCGGACTCCCGTACGCCAGGACTCCCGTATGCCCGGACACCTGTACGCCCGGACTCCCGTATGCCTGGACTCCCGTACGCCCGGACTCCCGTACGTTAGGACTTCCGTACGCCAGGACTCCCGTATGCCCGGACTCCCGTACGCCCGGACTCCCGTATGCCCGGACTCCCGTACGCCCGGACTCCCGTACGCCAGGACTCCCGTACGCCCAGACTCCCGTACGCCCGGACTCCCGAATGCCCGGACTCCCGTACGCCCGGACTCCCGTACGCCCGGACTCCCGTATGCCCGGACTCCCGTACGCCCGGACTCCCGTATGCCCGGACTCCCGTACGCCCGGACTCCCGTATGCCCGGACTCCCGTACACTTGGACTCCCGTATGCCCGGACTCCCGTACGCCCGGACTCCCGTATGCCCGGACTCCCGTACGCCCGTACCGCCGTACACTCTGCACATCCCTAGAGCACCAAGTCTGAGATAGCTGAGCTCGGATTCAATCCTTTCTGACCGAGCATTGCATTTAGGCTGAAGATACTCATTGGTGCCGACAAGTCGCAGTCACGAAGCGTCGAATGAAGATTGTGCACGTTGTAGTTCTTACCGTGTACGCTCGTATGCTCTACACTCGTGCTCCCCTACGCGCCAAGCATAGTCCAAGCGACAATTGGCGGTGTCACGGACCTGAGGCTTGGTTTTACGGGCCCAATCCACCGAGAAAGGGACACATTCACCGTCTGGAGACTTGGTTGCACAAGCTCAATCCAGGTGATATGATAGTGTTGGAAACCATGCTGCCCAAGCATGCACAGATAGGTCCATACCATCAATATCAAGACTACCAAGTACGGGCGCGGGGCACCTTGTCAAATCCTATGAGCGAAGCATAGCAAGATTGTGATCAAGCACGAAGTGTAGAACTCGGGACAACTCCTCAAGTTCTCAAATTCTTTCATTACTTAAAAAAAAATTGTTTTCAATCTAGAATTTAATGAGGTCCGACCTCACTTGGAAATGAACGGGCGGTGGCCAAAAAAAAAAATGACGCCCCGCTCTCGGTGTTTAGTCGATCACGGCTCGGCTCTCGGGCAAGGAAATGATCATACTACTTTCTAAGTCCGGGGTTAGCTGCTCGGTCAGGGCAATTGTAGGACCGGCTTCCGGGTCGAAAAGGTATGCGAGAGGTCGCGCCCCGAGCCCCTCTCGTACATCCGTAGTCTAGCATTACTGTCTAAACAGCTCGCATGCATGTATGATCCAATCAACAATGCGACAACTATATGACCGGTCTTCGGACCGAAGGAATGCGAAAGGTCGTGCTCCGAGCCCCTTCCGTACATCCGTTGTCTGACGTTGGTAGGCTTAGCAGCCCGCATACGCGCTTGACAGGATCAACGGTGCGGGTCCGTTCTGGTCTGATCATGCAGGGCCCTGCCCTTACGTTTGGCCGACTTCAGTTTGACTTTCAGAAACGGAACAACCAAAAATTTTCCTAAGTATGAAACTAGCTGTACAAGTCAAGGTGGTGTAAGACCGACCTCCGGGTCGAAGGTATGCGAGAGGTCGCGCCCCGAGCCCCTCTCGTACATCCGTTGTCTAATCACTAGCCAAACTGCTTGCACAACTCGTTGGTCCAAGACTGACAGTGTGCGGGTCAGCCCCGCCTTACCTAGCAGGGCGCGGTCAAGGTCGGCCCTGCCAACCTTCCGCCCCTCACGGCCTAGGTGGGGAGCCAGATCCCCGATTAGTTCTCCAAGTATTCTTGAATGAAAAACGGCTAAGTAAATTGAAAGAACAAATGATGCACACATACAAGCTCAAGCGAAAAATCAATCACAAAGACCAACTCCAAGATCATCATTGCCCGATTTTCTTCGCCTCATCACAAGTAGTCTGCATATAATGCCAGCCAATTGCAACCCCCCTTGTTCCGCAGCTAAGCTCGGATATACTCCGGACACCGGTCTTCAATCCTGGAAGTGATGAGCTCCGAAAACTGTAAGGGGATTTGAACAAATCAACTGCCTCATCTCCCACATCCTCGTGCCTCTCGTATTCCAAGCGAGACGTCGCTGCATTACGGCAGACCCCTCGGTCTCAACGTGATCATTTATCTGAAGACCGGCCTCATCCCCTCACTTCATGGATGAGGACCGTTGTGTGGATTTCCGGACTGACCCCTCAGTGCCGATGTCCTTGCCTCACGGCAGACCCCTCGGTCTCAACGTGATCATTTATCTGAAGACCGGTCTCATCCTCTCACTTCATGGATGAGGACCGTTGCGTGGATTTCTGGACCGGCCCCTCAGTGCCAACGTCCTTGCATCACGGCAGACCCCTCGGTCTCAACGTGATCTTTTATATATCGACATGGCAGGCCCCTTGGTCTCAACGTGGTCGCCATACTCTCAAGGCCGGTCTCAGTCATCCCTTCCCGGATGGCGACCGTTGCTTGGATCTTTAGATCGGCCCTCCAGTTCCGATGCACATGCATCACGATCGGCCCCCTCAGCCTCGATGTGATGCTCTATATCAAAGACCGGCTCCTCAGCGCCGAAGTCTTGATCTAGCGACCGGGCTCGCCATCCCTTCCTGGATGGTGACCGTCGCCTCTACATGACGACCGACTCATTTCTTCCCCGTCATCGTTATTCGGATCGGATACCCCGGATCGCCATCCTCAACGTACAAGTGTACAATTGCGACCCGCCTTCTCCAAGCATATCTCAGCTCGACACCATCAACAAACAAAGTTGCTAGGTGGTCTCTCCCGAGCATACCTTGGCTCGACCGACACCACTGACAAACAACCGTGTGACTAGTCTTTCCGAAACATATATCGGCTTACCAGTAAAGCAGGCACTCAACCAAGAACTGAGGGGATTGACCTTCCCTTGCTTTATTTTAATGTTCTGGTACACTCTTTTTCCTTCACTAGGATTTTTTCCCATTGGGTTTTTCCTAGTAAGGTTTTAACGAGGCACCCCCTTATCATGAACAAAGGAAGAGGTCTCCCGGTCGGAGCAAAGAAGAGTCCATCCTTTCACAAGCAATGGGATCAAATTCAAGGCTCGATAATGACCGGCCGGCCGGACAAAAAACCGGACCAATTCCAAATAAGCTTAACTACTCCCTTTTAGCCGAGTCTACTACTCGACTAAGGGAGTGGGGGACTCGTGTTGGGATAATGGGCCAGGTCCAAGACTATTGGCCCATTACGCCCAAGCTTTGGCCCGACCAAGCTCAGAACACAGCCCGGCTAGCGGATATTGGTCCGAGATTATTTATTTACATATCGGGCTGGCTGGCCCATTAGCGTCAATGTTAGTTGATAAATCGGGCCAAGCCCATGTAACACTTAATTGGTGGGCTATTGTGTATGCCTATAAATAGGCCACCAACCCCTTGTATTCTGGGAAGCCATTCTCACTATACTGAAATGCTGCCGAATTCTCTACCCGGGTTATTTTCTACCAACACAAGTACTATCGTATATTTTAAAATTTTTTTCTTCTTAAATTAGCAGAATCAGCTAATGCAACCAGAACTTCATAAATTGTATTGTATATATACCTAAAAGCAAAATCCTTTCACCCTAGAACTTTCCACCTCTCTCTCCTAGCCATTCACGCTGTTAATATCCCGTTTAATTCTTTCACAAGATTGTTCACCGGAAACTATAAAACAATTCACCCGTTTCTCGCTTCAAATCAGCGTATTTCTCGCTTACAACTTCTTCATTTATTGGCAATTAAGTCATTCGTTCTATCCGCTTCTTCATCCGTATCATCAGCAGATTTCTTGCTCATTGCATATTGAACGATTTAAACACCACAAATATGCAATTTCCATGAACAGACATCGTAACGTCAAAATCTTCAATTTAGCTGTATTATCATCTTGCTTCCGCAAATCCGGTCTTCTGAAGGTAATCAAACGAATTAATTGCTCTTATTCTCTGTATTTTAGCTCCATGGCACCGCAAATGTATCGGGGCTCAAGTGATTTTTCGAAGCTACGAGACCTTGAAAGCTGCTTTTTCAAGGGAAATTTACCGGAATATGACTAAAACTCAATGAGTTTCTCAATCTATGACCTAACTAGTTTTTATACCTTTGTATGACCAAAATTCCAAAAACAAATAGAAAATTCGTTTATATATAAATGCTGAATGACAAAAATACCCTTATTTAAAATATGTGCATTTTGGACTAATTTCGTCCAATTAGAATTACTGCATTTTATATTGCAGTTAATGCGCAAAATTAATGCATGACTTTACTGCACATCCGGTAATAATCACTGCACTTCCCCTAAAATTAATTCTCTTTTTATTCAATTGAGGATTTTTTAAAAAAATTAATAAAATTTTATTATTTTACGTCTAATTAAGTACATTGCATTTCATGATGATATCACTGCTTTGTGTTACTGCAATACTGGTCATAATCACTTCACAACAAACTTCCTTAATGCATTCATTTATTGCCATGTACAACATATATTGCTATATTAAGTGTCATACTCAACGCTTTCATATTATCTATCAATGTTCAATGCTCATATTTAATGCTCACAAACCCTAAAATGACTCACCATACTCAACAATATTTATTATCATATTTAATGTCCATATTCACTGCACATTTTTAATGCCTACAAACTTTAATTTTCTAAAGCCAAAAATAAAATCCGAAAATCATCTAAAATTGGCCCACGTAAGAAATACTAACTTTTGAAACAAAGTCGCTCAATTTGGAATTGAGAAAATGAATTATTGAAGGAGACCTGAAAACAAGAAAAATTGATTCGCTTAGGAGCCAATTTTATTAATATAGATAATAGAGTATAAGATACGTAGTACTCCCTCCGTCCCTTATAACTTTGCCAACTTTCCTTTTTTGGATGTCCCATTAACTTTGCCACTTTCCCATTTAAGTAAAGAATTTGTGGTTCCAGTTAATTCTCTCTCCTCTGCACAAACCTCAACCACACAGTTTTTACTTTATTAATCCCCGTGCCAGTCAAACTTGGCAAAGTTATTAGGGACGGAGGGAGTATAATATTATGCAGCCTAAATAAAAAAGTGGCTCCTACTACCTCTGCTAGCGCGTCTACATGACTACATCAGGAAGGGAAGAGCCTCAATCGACCCCTACTCTTCTTTTAAACTAAGTTTTCACAATTGAAGATGGATAGATGTCGTGCTTTCAAGTGTGGCGGCGATGAGAATGGAGGACTTCGAAGAAGTAGAGGAAGCTCTGGGACGATCTGCGCGCCTCGTTTTCCAGATCTGGACGGCGGCACACGGATCTGCACGGCTCGTTTGGCATGCTCTGGGACGGCGACTTTGCCAGGCCGGAGTTCTGGATCAGTGACTTTGCTTGTTCGGTGGTGGGTTTCTCTGGCCGGAGTTCTCTGGAAGGAGGCGGCGCTGGACAGTGGGAGGCAATCAAACGGCTGGGCGGCTGCGTGGTTGGACGTAGGAGATTGTGGCTAGGGTTGATGAAAATGGGAAGGAGGTTATGGTTTTATAGATATAACAGAAAGGGTATATTTGTCCATAAAAATTATTTATTATTTATTAATTACGAATTTTAATTAAATCCTCTCCTTAATAGCACTACAACACCAAAACATAAAATCCCGCCTAAACCATTCTCACTTGACATCCGTTCGATTCGTACTTATACAAATCAACGGTTCATGAGTATTCTTCTCTTCTGATGTGATCCCTGGAACCCTTGGTACGCACACCGATCGACCGCTTTTCGCTTCCAATTCAACTGATTTTCGTTTTCTTCCTTCCAAATCAACGATGTCGAGGTATCCATGCCTTGGATAGGTGTCTCTCACGAACCAGGTAAATACTGAATATATTTTATTTTTTCAATTTTAAACATTTTCGCATTTGTCGATTACCCCTTTGCTTCTGTTCTTTTCCGTCACTTAGCAGTGTTCATCGTAACTTTTGGTATTAGTGAAAAAGATCGAAGCCAAATTGCATTTGATGAAATTGTGTTTAACCCTCTTTCTGAATCACTACATAGATTTTGTTCAAACACTCACATCAACGACTTCAATCTAATTCCACCTTATAATTCTTTCAATTTCCTTCAAATCTATTGTTTAATCACCTCTAATTTCATAATTTATAATTCTTTTTCCTGAGAATCAACACTGCCAAACTATATCTCAGCTCTTCTGTATCCACAAGCCATGTGTATGAAATGACATATTGCATTTGTGCAAATTTTGTTTTGCAAACTTGAAATTTGAGAATGAATGGTTGTAAATGTTTTGATAGCAACATGTTTGTTATAATTCCTCAATGAAATATGTCTTCCTATGATGCCTAATTTTCTATGATTTTAGAAGTAATGCATATTGATTGATTGTTGTCTGCATAAATTAATAAGATGATGCACAAGGGAGAAGATACATCTTATTTTGCTTACTCATTTGTTAAGGAAATGATATAAATATGTACACACACATTATCCGAAACACATCTAATTTGTTGTTATAGTTAGAATAAGCATATCAACTTCTCAATTAAAAATCATTATTATTGAAGTGTAAATCTGCATCTATGTATCAATTAGATCCAAATGTGTTGAAATAGGCAAAAAAATGGTAACGGAGCCTCTTGCTTTGTGTAAACCGATTCAACTATGACAACCTAGAGAAGAGCTCACAAATGGCTACTGTTGAGGTGCAAAAGTAACATTGTCCTTATTCTTTTTTACTTTTTTGTTCTGTTTTATATTCTGTTTGTCATTGTTTATTCCTCTAAATTTATTCCAGGAAAGCGTTACTGTTAGAGGACTACATAGATTTGAGTTTAATACTACGTATGTTTTTCATAAAGAAGGTAATTCCTGAATCAAAATTAATACTCCTCGATTGTCTCTTAATTAGAAGTATATTTGGTTTTAATGTTTGAAAAAAACATTTTTATGGATTGTGTACGTGTACGGTGATCTACTTAAACGACTAAAAGAAATTAAGTTCAATTAGAAAATCATCTTATACCATATCATCCCAAAATTCGTATAAATGACTTTCATAGAGATTTTCACTTTATATTCAGCATCATGATCATTCCCAGTGCCGCAAATGCTCCCACCTATGGTGGGGTAAGGGGGCTTGAATTCACTTTATGTTAGGGATCAAAATTTAATATAAATTCTCATTTTGTTTCTGCTAATAAATTGTTAGTATAAAGTCTCATTTTGTTTCAGTAAACTGATATAGTAAGTGATACATAAAATTTGCTTCTGCTAATAAATTGTTAGTATAAGGTTAATTTTTAGACCACGATCATATCATTTATTTTTATTTTTTTCTCAAAAACTATACAAATATGAAAACATTATGATTATTATCAAATACAATCTCAAATACTATGTTTGTCTATTTTTTATTCCGATCGGCTTCTGTATTGCTTTATTTCTTTTTTGCTGCTTTATGCTTGAAATCATTTTCTGCTTCATTCTCTCTGGCTATTAAGTTATTTTATTGGGGTAACTTGAGTTTGCACCCCATATTATTGTTTAAATTGAACTTTGCACCCCGTTTTAAAAAATCTTTGTTTTTGCACCCCAACCCCATATGAAAAGACAAAAATGCCCTCAATCAAGAATATGTTGAAATCATTTTCTGCTTCATTCTCTCTGGCTATTAAGTTATTTTATTGGGGTAATTTGAGTTTGCACCTCATATTATTGTCTAAATTGGACTTTGCACCCCGTTTTAAAAAATCTTTGTTTTTACACCCTAACCCCATATGAAAAGACAAAAATGCCCCTACATTAACAATTATGTTGATCATCAACATATTCTTGATTGAGGGCATTTTTGGACAGTAATATGGGGTGCAAACTCCGTATTACCCCTATTTTATTTGAAGTCAAAAAAATATGATTACTTATTCACGCTTGATTGATGGAGAATTACATATAGAGTCAGTACATATCATATTTCCTGTACTTGACCCTTTGTATCACCTATTTAAATCCTACCTAATTGTTTCTTTGGTTGATTAATATTTTAGCGTATTTCTTAAATAGATTTGAACCACCTCAATGGCTTCAATTTTCAATTTCAAGTTCAGTTGACAAGAGTTAAGCAAAAAGAAAAGAACAAGTGATGCCTGAATCTGGAAGGTGTTTCCATTTTATGATTGCAGCTTCTTATTTATCCTTTTAATTTAACTTTCAAAAAATATTATTTACTGTAATCAGTTTTATAGAAAGCAATCTGTCAAAATAGTTATTGGACTCACTATGTCTTTTCCTCTATGATGTTATTAACATATTATCGGTTGCTACAAATGACCAAATGTCATTAATATTATCGTCATTCGTTTGCTACAAATGACCAACTGCCATCAATTATTATCGGTTGCTACAAATGACCAAATGCCATTAACTATTATCGGTTGCCACAAATCACCAAATGTCATTAACATACCATTTTACTTTAAAATTAATGTTTTTTGCAACATCAATTCATTAGAGTGACCTCATCCCACAATATAATAACCCATAACTTCTTACTTTTCACCTAGGGCAAACTGTACTTGCATATTATTTCGAATGTTCAAACTCATGGGATAGAAACTCCAAATTCAACAGCACACCGTCTGAAATCGGAAGTAGTGGTTGTTGTTGGTGGGAAGGGCTCAACACAAGGTGAAGGATAAATTGATTGAGAGATGGTGATGAACTCAATACAGAGAGATCATTACTGGGATGAACTTCACCTTTGTCATCTCTGGCCCGATTACTTCATCCTGGTGGCTACTTTCTCATTTCTGGCCCTCATGTGCAGTGGCCTAAAGAAGATAAGCAGTGGGCAGAGTTCAAGCTGTTGCCAGATCAATGTGTTATGAACAGGTTGTTGTGGAAGAAAACACTTAGAAAAAGACCAATGGTGGGTATGCATATTTTCCCAACCACAATGAATTTGGGATCAAAGTATGTGAACCTGATGATCCTCAAAGTGTTGCATGGTGATAACATCTTCGATCAATTCATTGCTTTAAAAAATGACAATATGTAGTAATAACAATATTAGCAATATAGTAAGTCATAATTGTAAAGAGAAAAGGAAATCAACTTGAGATATACGTAGTATTTGGTAAGTTTGTTTATCATTAACAACATTCTTACCTTTCTTCAAATAAATAAAAATATGGGTCTTCTTCATGTAGTTGTTGAACATGAGGTAAAAGGTGATTGATTATTTACTTATTGGTTAATTGACATCTTATTCAATTTTGGTTTTTCCGATGTATGATTATAATTTTGTGTATATATATGCGTCTAAGTTCGGTTTGCATCAAAGTTCATAAAAAAGATTAAACTAATTTTATACTCCGTAAGATAAAAAAAAATTGATACATAAACTTGAGATATTAAAAAGAATGGAGTGAACCTCATTAGAAATGATTGAGAACACCAGCGTGAAACGGGTGTGTGATATCTTATTTTTATGGCTGACCACTTGGCCAGTGGGATGACCGAGTATCAACTCTTACTGAACTATGTATGCATTACAGGCAAGGCCGTCTTTTAGGAGATGCAATAGGTGGAGGAAATTACCAAAAGACGGGAGTTTTTGGTCTGACAAGCCAAAACACGGGAATGAGAATTAGTTACCAAAATACGGGAGTCGGAACTCCCAATTCCGACTAGAGATTAGGGTTAGATTTTGGAATGGCTACTCCTCCTGTCGGATTTGGCAATTCCGACAAGGTTGAGGAAATAAAGGGAATTGGGTGTTTTACAATAAAGTGAAATTGGGTGTTTTTGAAAAAATTTGTTCCACTCCAGTCGGATATGCCACTTCCGACAAGGGGTTTTTTAATTTTTAATTTTTAAATTCTTGGTGCAATTATTACTTGTCAATAAAGATTTTTAAAATAAAGTTTTATCAAATAAAGTTTTAAATTTCTATCGGAATTGTTAATTACGAATGTAAAAGTTTTTTTTTGTAAATTCGTGTCATATTATTTAAAATGAAAATTATGCATTTTGATTTTTTGAGTTACAAAACATTGATTCATTTATTTTATTTTTTCACCCATGCATATCGTGAATTAAATTAATAAAATAAAATACAAATTTGATTTTGTTTTAAATGCAATTTTTGTAATTTTAATGGAAGTGAACAAAACAAATGTAGTGATGGTACCATGGATTAAGACCATGGCCCAATTACGTAGTCCAGCCCATAAACGGGATCGGCCCTCGACGGGACCAGCCTAATTACAGGATTAGCCCATAAACGGGATCGGCCCTCGACGGGACCAGCCTAATTACAGGATTAGCCCATAAACAGGATCGGCCCTCGATGGGACCAGCCAAAGTACAGGATTAACCCACAAACGGGATTCATGGTTAAAAGCCGCTTAGCCCATTAGGAATTAGGCCTACGATAGGAACCCACCACCAGGCCGGGCAGGACAGCAGACCTCGAGCATAGGCGGAGTTCTAGTGAAGCCAGGATATTCCTAGGGCTTACGTGGCAAGGTATCATTCGTTGATAGATATTTGGCAATAGGCAGAACTCATTCGGAGGACGGCGACTAAAAAGGAAAAACAATCGTGTGGGAGTCCAGCATCAAAGAGTTCTATTTCGAGCAAGAATATAGTTCATTGAGCATTTATTGTATTAGATTCCTCCCATAATTCTACTTCAGAATCTCTATAAATACTTGATGTAAACACCCTATGAAGGGATCCCCGAATCGACCCCCCCCCCCCCCCCCCCCCCCGATAAGATTTGAAACTGAGGCTTGACTATTGCTAGCTCTCCAAAATAAAGAGTAAATTGCCTTACGCTGCCATATTATTCTCATACCTACGTATATTTAGCTCTCGTAGTTGGATTTAACTCTATCATGTAGCTTTCAATGTAATTTATTAATAAATAGATAGTACCTCACATGCATGTAGTAAATCATATAATGTACAATTGAAACTATTTGATGACAATCGATCATATATGAAGTTGATTCCACTATACTCCCGGTTGGGGTTGAGTATCCTTGGGCGGTAAATGATCCAGAATACTCTAGGTTGGGGTTGAGAACCCTTGGACGGTAAATGATCCTAAAATATTGGTTTTAATATGAAAATCATTTATAAATTTAAAAATATTGGATTCTTGTCAGTACTCTACACAGCCGGATGTTTGACTGACCAAAACCTTTGAATTTATAAATTTGTTCAATTTAGATTTAGAGTTCAATTTCGAATTTATGAATTTATAACTACTTATTTTAGGAATTTCAAATGGACCAAAACATTCCGCGCCCAGGGCCTGTTAAACGTTCACTACTCACGTTACACCCTGACATCTCACGATTGGGGTATTGTGGTAAGTTTTTGAATACATACCATATTCATTAACATATATCGTGTCATATTATTTACACGTGTTACATTTTTATGTAGAAGCAAGGCGTTCATGATACTTGCGGCGGGGACGGAGCAGGGCTGAGCACACAACGTTAGATGTAGTATTAAAGTTAATATCATATATACTGTCTATTCATTAATAAATTACTGTTTATTCGTTGTTTTGTTCACTTCCATTAAAATTACAAAAATTTTAATGGAAAAAAATTCAAATTTGTATCTCATTGTTCGAATGGATTAAATCAAAATTGCACTTAAAATTACAAAAATTGCATTTAAAACAAAATTCACAACACAAATGGATTAAAAAACAATATAAAGCAATCAAATGTTTTATTACTCAAAAAATCAAAATGCATTATTTTCATTTTAAAAAATATGACAGGAATTTAAAAAAACTTTTAAATTTGGAATTGATAAAATTTAAAACCTTAGTTTTAATTTTTTTTAACTAGTTTTAAAAACTTTGAAAATAATGCATTTTTGATTTTTGTTTTGAGTTTTTGCAGTAAATAAGCAATTGAACGACAAGGAGAGAATTGCATGTGCTTTGGAAAGAAAAAATTCGCACAAAGAAAAATATAAACTCTCCTTGTCGGATTAGCCACTTCCGACAGGAGGGGATTTTTTTCCAAAAAGACTCTACGCCTAGTCGGAACAAGGAGTTCCGACTTCCCCTTTTTCGTAAAACCTAAAAAAATACCCGTATTTTGGCAATCCAATCCAACTTTTCCCGTCTTTTGGTAAAACGTGCTTTGCACCGGGGCCTACTCTTGTAGAGGGCTTCCAAAAATTTAGAATGTACCTTCATCCCACTATGTTTGGGACAAGACAGTGTGGCACACCATATGAGAAAAAATGGAATTGTGTGGTTAATATTGAATTGATAAACTATGAATAAAGTAAGAATGAATTGTAATCATCCAAATATTACCAAATATGGTATGTGACAAACTTAATGGGACCGACGAAAAAGGTAAAACGAGACAAACTTAGGAGGGCGGAGGGAGTAGCATTAGTTATAGATTAATTTTTCTAGATTTTTTATATTATTAAGGATTCCAATATACGTAGTCCTTTTGTCCCTTAAAACTTTGTCATCTTTCCTTTTTGGGACGTCCCAAAAAACTTTGCCACTTTCCCTTTTAATCAATATTTTGAAGTTCATGTTATTTCTATCTCCTCTGCACAAACCTCTACCACACAGTTTTTACTTGGCAAAGTTTTAAGGGACAGAGGTAGTAGAACTTTTAGATTCTCTAATTTGTGTACCTTAAACATCATAAAACTTATATTTCGTTGGAGTGTCTAGTCTATTTGTATTTCATTGTAAAAATTTGTGTTATTTTCTCGTCTTAGCTCCTTAGGGGGCCTCAATTTGCTATTTCGAACCGGGGCCTCCAAATTCATTAGACGGCCCTATTTACAGGTCCATATTTTATTTTTTAGTAGGTCAAAGCTGATTGATTATTTAATTATAAATTGTTGACACCTTACAAATAAGTTGAATCACATTATAATCAATTTGAAGTTACGTATTCAGTATTCAATTTTCATTTCTAGACAATGTGTTTAATTTGCTAATAACAACTTTGAGTATCACATAGTCTATATAAAAAAGAATGAGGAAATTGGTTAGTCTAAGAAATTATCACATAAAATTCCACCCGTTTTGACTCTTGGATTTCCAAAGTGAAAATAACAATTTGGGATCCGTTTTGATTCTTTATTTTTCTAAAGCTCAAATCAGTTACAGTGTAATTGAAGAATCTGTAATACAAAAATATCTTTTTAGTAGTTTATTGGAAAATCTATATTATCTAACATTGGAGGTCAAGTGACTAGAAATATATACAAGATTTATCTTAATTATCTAACAATTACAAGTTATCTATTCCACGGTGTGATAAGCTTATCTCAAATTTTTACTCATGCATATTATATTGTGAGTAATTTAAGGTTGGCGAACTTCATGCAAATTAAAAAATTGTTCTTTTTTGTAAACTAAGGTTTCATGTTAATTTTCCAATTAAACAATATGCCACGGTATATGTGGTATGTTACAGTTTCGGGGGTGCCAAGTAGGAATGACTTGAAGTTCTTGATATGCGACGATGATGGAAATAAGAAAATTGCAGAACATGTTGTCTACAAGGAAGTATTCAATTATTTGTGAATTGTGTGTTTATTAAACTTGCAAGTTTGTGTTACTATGTATTACGTAGTATTTATTTATTAATGGTTACTCTTATTTGCGTGATATAAAAATAATGTAGTCTATAATATCATTTATAAGTTAACATTTATAATATTTGGATTTTACATCCCGTGCAACGCACGGGTGAAATGCTAGTATTGTGAATATTAGTATTATTTTGGGGAAAAAACTAGTTAGGGCATAGATTGGTAAACTCATCGAGTTTTAGGTCAAAAGCTGATCTTTAGAGTCCTTTTGGTAAAATTTATATTGATATGATTCTCTATTCCATACTTTGTTCATTTCATTGTTGGTAATATAGTTTTTTTTGTTATCACGTAGCCTCCTCCCTTTAACTTAAACAATATTTAATGTTTCGATTCCCTCCCCAGATCATGTTTTACTCCAATTCACATGTCCAAAGAAATACTTTTTGTTTATAATTTTGTTTTGAGAAAATTATCTGAAATAGGACTAAAGGGCTGTCTTGTTTTTATTCCCAAAATAGGACTAATTACTGTCATGTTTTGGTAGTACCATACTTCAAACATGGCAGTATTTTCTAAATTTCGCAGTAATTACTCCTATTTTGGGAATAAAAAACA